GTAGCAGGCTTCATTGGTGTTCGTTTCGATTTAGAAGGCTTGTGTATTCATTTTTAGGACTACTAGGGCCCAATTCCATACGAATTTGATCCCATCACAGGCCAACTTATGTTTGGTTTCCAGCCCAAAATACAGGCCATTAGATATGCCATGAACTATCTTATCCACTAAATGTTTGATACGTTTAGCCATATTTCATCTATAAGGGAAAAATTCATTTTTCCTACTTTATCTTTACCCTATTTCAAAAATAACAAAACAACTTTCACATTTCAAAAATCAGATTTTTTAACCTATACATACACATATATATAAATATTTATTTATATATATAAAAAAGATATNACTTTTCTAAAATCAGAGAATTTGACATATATATATACACATAAATATAAATATTTATTTATGTATATAAATATATAAAAAGATATAAATAAATAAATAAAATTAACCCACCCCCACCTCCACCTCCACCTCCCCAGCGATTATTCCGGCACTGCTCCGACGACCACTCCGATGCGGATTCCGACTACCTCTCAGGCGACTACTCCGATTCAGGCGACCGTTCCGGCAACTACTCCGATTCCGGCGATCGTTCTGACGACTGCTCTGATTTCGACGACTCAGGTCGCAAGTCACAGTCCATATCACAACTCAAGTCACAGTCCAGGTCACATATCAGAATTTTGTTCATAGTCTCGAGTTTTTTTTTTTTTTATAAGGATCACAGGTTATTTTCAAATGATCACAGGTAAATTTTTCAGTGACAACTTATTTAATTTTGAGTCACAGTTCGAATTTTTAGGGTCACAGTTCACTAATTGGTCAAAGTGCAACTAATGGATCATGTACCACCATCACCTCCAAATGTCTCCACAGCCATCGCTCCAGCTGTAAACCATGACAATCTCCAGCACCAACAATATCGTCGCCACCACCACAGAAATTATAAAATCCACAAAACCACCACCTCGCCACCATAGATACATACTTCATCACCACCACAAAACTGCCCCCGCCAAACCCCCCACCACCACACCCGCAACACACACAGCACCACCATCTGGCAAATGTGGTGCTTTTGCACCACGGATTCGCACCGCCACCAATGATTCGCACAACAGATTCGCCGGATCCGTTTCACCAAGACACCTTTTAATACCCAGGCACCAACACAGATTCGACGCCTCCACCAACACCAAGCAGCCACCACAACCGCGACCTACTACCACAAATCACCAAAGCCCACAGCAAAAAAAAACCAATGAACACTGGCAGCGAATTAGGGCAGCGTCGCGACAATGCTGCGATGTCGGCAGCAGCGTCGCGATGCTGCTGCAAATTAGGGCAGCTTCTTCAAATTAATTTTTATGGCAGCTTGAATTAGGGAGGGAGGAGACATCGCCGGCGACAACATGGAGAGAAGACGCTGATGGTGTGGAGAGAGACGGATGAGAGAAACTCAGAAACAGGGTGAATGGGGGTAAGAAATTAGGGATTTATGGTGGGTAGGGTGTATATAATTTAATTTTTATAATATTATTATTAAAATTTAATAAAATATAAATAACATGTATCTATATTAAAAGCATCTGACTTTTNAACATTAAAACTTAAAATCTGATTTTTGAACTTGGATTTTGAAAAGTAGAGTTCCATGTAATTTCCACATAATTTAAAGAGGAAATTACACACGGTCCTGATTTTAGATTTCCGTTCTCACAAATAAAGAATCAAGTTTCATAATACAAAAATCAAGTTTTAATTAATAATTTAATTTTTTTATTTTTATTTTTATTTATATATAAAATATAAATTAATTTATATACCATCTCTACCATATCTCCCTAATATCAAACCCTAAAATCAAACCCATCTCCTCTCCACTCTCTCTGCTCAAACGTCGCCGCCGCCTCCACTACAGCCGACGATTCTTCCAATCACCAGAGAAATAATTGATGATGTTTCCACCTTCTCTATTCTCACCATCGCTCACTTTACCTCTTCTCCTCTCCGTCTCTCCACCCAAATCGCATCACTCATCGCCACTCACGGTTGTTCTGTAGCATCGCCATTGTTCAGTAGAGTTGCAGGTCCAATGGTCTCGATGCAGTTAGCGGTGAGTGGTCTCGTTGTAGATCGGTGTTCTGTAGCATTGCGTTGCAGATCCAGTGGTATCACCGCCTCAAACCTCGTCCGCCACCATCCGCCTCTACACTATCAAACCAGGTAGACTGTGAAGCCCTAAAATCAATTGTCCCAGTCCATCTTCGACGCTGCTTCGTTCCTACCCATCTAATTTCTCCCTCATGTAGTCAATTCTTGCTTCCAATGACGCTACCCGATCGGTGAGATTCAATTTCCCAGTGTCAATTAGATAATGCTAGTGATTTTTATGGTTGGCTATGGCGGATTTGGCGACGGGTTTGTTGTTGTTTAGTGTTTTGAAATCGTGGTTTTTGTTATTGTTGGAGTGGTAGTGGCGGTCTTGGTTTCATGTTTTGGTGTTGTTGGGGCTTTGAGGTAGTGAGTTGGAGCTCAGAAACGATTGTATTGGTGTTGGTGGCATCGTCGTCGCTACCAAGCGCCACTACCACTTCATCACCACGTTTTTTTGTGGTGGATGCGGTTTTTGGGGGTGGTGGGAGGGTGTGGGGTTTGATTTGTTTGAGATATTGATGTTGCTATTGGGCGACGGTGGTGGTGCCACTGGTGGAGGTAGTAGAAGTGGTGGTCAAAAATGATTAGGTTGTTTGTCACCAATAAATAATATGTGACCAATGCATTAGATAAATTGTGACCAATACATGCTTAGTGACCCAAAAATTATTAATTTGTGACCAATAATTTAATAAATTGTGACCTAAATATAATTTATGTTAAATTAATGTGATGTTTGTGACCATAAAATAAGCAGTGTGATTTATTAATTTTGTGATTTGTGATTGATGAACAAAATGAACAAATTGTGACCTATGAAAATTTTGAATTGTGATTTAAATTTTTTTGAATTGTGACCAAATTGCATAGATATGTGATCTTAATATATTCACCCGAGTTGGAACACTTGTCGGAATCGGAGCAGTCGCCGGAATAAAGTGGCGGGGCGGCGGAACGATCATCGGAATCGGATCTTCGTTGGAACGATCGCGCGAAACAGTCGCCAGAGAAGTGTTGTGATCGAAACGGTAGTCGGAATAGTCCTCGAAGCGGTAGAAGTGGTGTAGGTGGGGTGGGGTAATTATGTTATATTAGAATTACATTAAATATGTAATAATAAATTGATTTAATAATTTATTATTTCATAAATTAAAATTTAAAAAATCTGATTTTTGAAAGTTGAAATTTGTTTTTGTATTTTTGAAATGGTGTAAAGTAAAAAGGCTGAGACGTGTATTGTTCCCTTATTTAAAAACTCATTTTCGATCATATATTCTCTCAAGAAAATAATTTTACTTAATTAAAAAAAACTCACTTATACATTCTCCAAAAAAATCATTGTTACAAAATCTATTTTCTAAAATAATGGGGCTTAAACACACCCTGAATAAAAAGTATGTCATCTAATTCAGTCATCGTTTGACACCCATTAATTTTTCATTCTCATTCTTATTCTCATTTTCATTTCAACTACACATTCTTCAAATAAAATAATATTAAACATAAATCAAAAACTTTTCATCACTTTTCCACCACACATTCTCACATCAATCACTATTCCAAAATTTCTATTCTCCTTAAAATTAGATTCAAACACACCAATAATAAGCATCTCAGTGATTTAACACATGNCTCACATCAATCACTATTTCAAAATTTATATTCTCTTCAAAAATAGATTCAAACACAAGCCGTTGTGCCAAGATAATATACAAAAAAGCACAATTAAAAAGTGTAAACAGGCCTAACTCCTACTTAGTATCCAAGGTGGTTTAGAAGGTTGAAAAACTTGTATGTTTGGGAATTATTTAGAAATTGTTTAAAATATAAATAGATAGAGATAATGGGGGATTTGTGAGTAATAATTATAAGTTTTCGAATAAAAAGTGATTTATTAATTATTTGTAATTTATGAACATGTGCCAAACATAGACTTAGCAACTTAAAAATTCATATTAAACCTAAACTATCCGACTTTTAAGTTGTGTTTGATACATCAAATTAAAAAGATAATACAGATAACATTATTTCCAATTTTTTTTTGAATATTTATGAGAGAGTTCTAACATTATGCATAATTTTTTGTGTTATAACATTAATAGTCTTCAAATTTGGAAGTCATGAAATATATGTAACATCGACAAAATTGACAAGATAAAAGAGAACCGCACAAGATACACAAACATATGAACTTCTACAATTGCTGTACAAGACTTTTGTGAATAAACTGAGCCGATGCCTTCAAATCAAACAACTAGTCCTCAAGAATATCATCAAAAAATCCGCTCTCTATTGAAAGGCTATGTATTTTCCTTACTTGACTAGGTTTCCAACCTCTGCCAACCCCGAAAGAAACAAAGTTAACGTTTCAATCCTTGGTTTCCACTTGTTCCAAATTTTCAAATTACTTATTTTCGAATAATGCAAGGACATCGCTATATTCCAAGAAACAGCATCTATTTTATCAATTTCTTCGAAAAGAGTTTTCGCATCATCAACCCTACCAGTCTACCAATGTAAACACTTAACAAGATTGAATAATTCACCAATTGATCAATCGAGAAAACCACTTTTGATCAAGTAACCACAAAAAAAACTTGAGCATATCTGTATCGTTACAATTGTGCTCAACCTCTTTCTGCATTTCACTTAACAATCGAGAAGCGCCACCATCATTCCTTTT